AGACCCCACTCTTCTCCCACTGGTGGGGACAGAACCCAGGAGTCCTGCTGTCCATTCTTCCTGCTCCAGCCACTAGATCTGCTTCTTCTCTATTGGTTTATATTAGGGGTGCAGATGTCAGAGGCGGGGGGAGAGAGAGGTCTCTATTCCCCACTAATGTAAGGGCTGTTTTGCAGGGGCCTGCCTTGGCGAGACAGCCCCCCATTCCCTGCACACTACAGGGCTACTGAGAGCGGGGGTTGGGACAGTCTCTTTGCCCCTTTCTAGCACTCCCCCCCCCCACATCCTATGGGCTGCAGTGCATGGGGCAGGGAGGTGCAGTGGGGAAAAGGGGTAGATGTGGAGCCTGGTTTGTGGAGCCAGGCAGCAGATGAGCCTCTGGGGAGGGGAGTGCAAAACTACCCCCACCCCCAGGCTGTACCCAGTGCCCAGGGTACCCCCAAGCTGTGCCCTGGGACCTCCCTGTCCAAGGGAACCCCCCAGCTGTGCCCAGGAACCCCCCTGTGTCCAGGGGACCCCCCCCAGCTGTGCCCAGGAACCCCCCTGTGTCCAGGGGAACTCCCCACCCCCCTGTGTCCAGGGGACCCCCCCGGGCAGTGCTCAGTGCCCATGGAACCCCTCCCCCCTCTGTGCCCACCCCCCAGGACTACATTCCCCAGCCTCCCCCGCGGCGCAGCCACGTGTCCCGGAGCAGCTGGGGGAGGACAGGAGGCGGCGGGAGATTCAAATCCCGACTCCCGAGCCGGGCGGAGCCGAGCCGAGCGGGATGGAGCCGGCGGCGGAGTCCGGGCCGGCCCGGGCGGGCTGTGAGTGAGACCGGGCGGGCAGGGGGGTGGGGAATGGACAGACAGACAGACAGACATTGGTGTGGGGCAGGGGAGGAGAGGGGACAGGCTGGTGGACGGGAGCAGAGGGGGGCTGCAGACAGAAAGGGGTGTGGCGGAAGGGGGCAGACAGGCTGGGGGACAGACTGATGGACAGGAGCTGTGGGGAGTTGCTGGGATGGACAGACAGACAG